TATATATAATTTTTTTATTTTTTTTCTCTCTCAAAAAATCACTTTTTATGTAGGCTATGTTATGAAAGTTCTTGTGAACAGTCGACCTATTGGATAATCACTGACTTTGTTGGTTAATGATAATTAGCTTCATACAAAAGCACACGCCCTGTAGCTAAGTGTAGTAATTGTATTCTTGTAAATGTCAGCACTCTTAATTACAGATATCCGTGACAACATTTCATATGGAAGAATGTTTGATTTTTTTTTTCTCTTCCTGCAGCCACTGAGAAACCGTGAAAAACTACAGTAAAGAAGTATTTTCCATTACTCCTCAAACGTGACAGCTACACTTTTCATTTTGCATTTCAAAAGCGGCATAAAAGATCTGAAGCTTGCTGGATAAAATCTTCAAATCGTTGTGGTGCCGAGTGTGTTTAGACGATAGCATGTGCCAAAGCCATCACAGTCATTTCTAAGTGCTTTCCTTTTACCCGTGTGGCATTAAAAAAATCAGAATTATCAGTGTAAATTTATTGGCTTATACCTTAACATGAAGAGTTGTAGTAAACAGTATATTCACCATCTATCACAGAATAAGGAACAATGTATTCTGCTCAAAAATTGCCTTACCTTTTAGCATGCATAATAGGTTCCTAGTATAATTTCTTGGTTCACTTGTCTTTAATGTGATACCAGATTGGAAATGTGCATAATAAAGATTCCAAGTGCGATCTAAAGCTTTATGAATAGCAAATCTTTGTAACATTTCATTAAACTCCATGAAACATGTTTTGAGATTTCATTTTTCGCCTGGCTTTTCATGCTGGTTGCTCTATATAAAATCAGTGCATATTAATTTAATTTTGTCACATGGGAGTACATGTCTTTTAAGGTGAATCTATTTAAGGGAAGCGATGTTTCTTCAAGGCTGAAGCGGCGTCACATGTCTCTCCCTGTAAATCTTCATTGAGAACAGAGCCCAGCAGCCCACATTCACACAGCGGGCCTAAAACGTCTAGTTACTAGCTTGTGTTCAAGGAAACAAGACCCTAGTTCTGTCTTTCTGCCAAAGATCTGACTATTTGGTGGATAAAATGTCAGCCCGAAGAGCATCAGTTTACAGTATATTGACTTGGACAGTCA